ACTAACCAGCTAAACACAATGGGGGAGGGTAATTACATGTAGATTATTGGAGGAATCATCTCCCTGTTATTCTAAAACTGGAGGAGTGTGATACAGCCTGTGACTGGCAGAAATCCACCCACACCATGGTATTTCCACAAAATAATAAATATGTGATTTCAAATACATATTTGTATGACAATTTAACCACTTCCCACTCGCCCGCCCGCAATGTACTGCAGCCAGGGGGCAGCTACAGGCAAAGCGACGTACCCATACGTCCCTCTGGCTGCACTTACGCAGGGGGGCTCCCCACCCGCGACTGCTGTGTCCGCCAGACACAGCGGAATGAATATCCCCGTGAACGGGACCTGGTGATCACATGATCGCTATGCAATCAATCTCATTCATAACAGCTCTGCTTCTCTTCCTAGTGAGTTGTGATTGGCCCACAGCTGTCACATGATACATGGGGCAAATCACAGCACCCTGTACCATGTGACCAGCTCCAGCCAATCACAGATCACTATCTTGAGCTGTTAAAAACAGTTCAAGAATGAGTTAAGTTCATGACAGCAAGCTTTGCAGTGATATCTTCTCTTTATAAAGAAAAAAAAATCCCTGATCACTGCAGTGATGCAAGCTGCTTTCTCTGGGGGCACCTGACAGGAAGGAGAAGCCAGGAACACTGGTAGGGTACCCAAGAAGAGGAGATTCTGGGATGCTCTGTGTAAAACCACTGCAGAGAGCAGGTAAGTATGACGTGTTTGTTTTTTTTTAAAAAAAATGTAAGCCTTTAATATCGCTTTAACTTAATAGTAACACTTTGCTGCAGATTGCACCTGCAGTGCGTTTGAACACGGTACGGGAAACGCACATGGAACATGGGTTTCCCACACAGTGTTCTGGTGTAAACCAGCGCTAAAACTGAAGTTTATTCTGCTTATATTTTGCCTTCCCTGGTTTTCCCTTTCCCTCACATAAAGATGTGGATGACATTTAAAACAAAAAAAAACCTTTACATTTTCATTACATACTTTATTTTAGACCCAGTTATGTCATAAGTGATTCTCTATGCAATATAGACAGAACATGGCTGGTGGGAGGAGCTGGCGGGGGCTTCCGAAAAACAATACAGTGCCCTGCCTCAGTACTCTGATAAAAGCAGTGGGCTGGGTCTTTGAAGGAGTTATGCAAGTATCAAAATGCCTTGATGAGGGAGGTCAGTCTGGAGATGTGTGCGCTCCTAGGCAGTTTGCATTTACAAGAGGACTACCCCAGATAAGGCCCATGCGTGAAGCTAAGCTCCATGATTGAAAAAACTGAAATCCAATTAATATAAGGGGCAGGCCAGGGGTTGTAAGTGTAGAGAGAAAAGGGTTAGATGGAAAAACCTGAGACTTGGAAATGGAAAGAGGAATGAATGGAGGAAGGCTCTATGTGACTTGCTGCAGTTTCCATTGAAAACACAATTTTAATCACAATAAATACCAAATGACCTGCAGTAATGGAAATACAACACACTGTGCCGTACACTTTTGTAAACTTTGCTAAGGCTTGCCATGTTATGGTATCTATTTTTGACACAACTTCTTTTATTTTATATTTTACCAAAAAAATGGGTAATATTTTTTTCGGTGCTCTAAAACTAACTTTATTGTGTTTTTTACAGAAAATTTGCACTCGATAAACTGTTGCGCAAATATCTTGTAACATAAAAGATTGGAACTACTAAGAAATGTAATCTCCAAACACAGAAAGGTTTCTTCACAGTGAGAGCTGTGAAAATGTGGAATAGACTCCCTCAAGAGTTGGTTCTGGCCAGATTAGTGGATTGCTTTAACCATTTGAATACCAGGCAATTTTACACCTTCCTGCACAGGCCAGTTTTCAGGTTTCAGCGCTCTCACATTTTGAATGACAATTGCGCGGTCATACAACATTGTACCCAAACTAAAATTTTATCATTTTCTTCACACAACTAGAGCTTTCTTTTGATGTGGTATTTAATCACCGCAGGGGTTTTTATTTTTTTTGCTAAATTATCAAAAAAAGACTGAAACTTTTGAAAAAAAAACACATTTTTTTTGTTTCTGTTATAAAAGTTTGCAAATAAAAATTGTTCTTCATAAATTTAGGCCAAAATGTATTCTGCTACATGTCTTTGGTGAAAATAACCCAAATTAGGATGTATTTTTTAGTTTGTAGGAAAGTTATAGAGTTCACAAACTATGGTATATATCTGAATATTGATCAATCCTGAAGTACTGATGGCCAATCTAATTTCTTGAGGTCCAAGAATGTCAGAACAGTACAGACATCCCCCAAATGACCCCTTTTTGCAGAGTAGACAGTCCAACGTACTTTATAAGAGGCATGGTGAGTTTTTTGAAGTTGTATTTTGTTTGTCATAATTTTTTGGAAAATGAAAAAATGCAAAAAATTATTTTTGCTATTTTTTTTTTTTTACATACTGTCACCAGTGCAGTACAGCGTCTTCATATAACTGGCATGGCGGTGATCAGGGACACTGACTGGTGACAGTATGAGAAAAAATATATATATTTTTTTTTTATTTTTTATTATTTTTATTTTTTATTACATTTTTTTTCTTTTTTTTAAGATTTTTTTTTTTCATATTTCACTTTGTCCAAAGTAGTACAATGTTACCATAGTAACATTGTACTACTTTGGGGAAGTGATCAGTAATTTTTTTTTTTTTTTTTTTACACAATTTGCTTATAGCAAAGAATTACTTTGCTATAAGCAAGCATTTACCTGAATGACATCGATTCATTCAGGGTTTTTTTTTTTTTTTTTTTTTTTTTTTGTGCTTAGCTGTGATTTGGCCACAGCTAATCACATGACATGTGCATGTGATTAGCTGTGACCATTCACAGCTAGACAGTAGTATACAATGGATGGCATGAATGAAGCAATCCATTGTATACAACTGTCATGTGACCTGCTGTGATTGGTCACAGCAGGTCACATGGTACCGGCAACAGGGCCGATACTCAGATCTGTCATTGGCCGTGTCCAAGGTACATGGCCGGTGACAGATCGCGTTGCTGTGCGGCTCTGCAAGCACAAAAAGTGAGGGAGGACGCCATTTGGCGTCCAACCCGGAAATGTAGTACGTTTTGCCGGCTGCCTTTTGGCTATTGGCCGGGTGTGTATTGGTTAAAAAAGGCCTGTATTGTTTCTTAGATACACAGAATATAACTGGATAATAACATTTATAGGTAAAGTTGATCCAGGGAATATCCGATTGCCTCTTGGGGGATCAGGAAGGATTTTTTTTCCCTGCAGGAGCAAATTGCATCATGCTTTGCTGGGTTTTTTTTTTGCCTTCCTCTGGATCAACTGTGGGTATAGCATTATAACTTTTTTTTTTTTATGGTTGAACTGGATGGACTTTTGTCTTTTTTCAGCCAGACTAACTATGTACTACCACTTTACTCTCCAGGGTCTGTTTTTGGGGGGGACTCAACAAAATTTCAGCTCTCAAATGTTCTTCTTCAACATGTGTTCCCCAAAAAGACAAAACCAGCTCTGGCAGCGAAAGGGTTTTATCAGTACAGACTGTTTGAGAACGAATACTGTTTCTGTTAAATGCAGCATGTCAGCAATTTATTCATGTAGTCTTGTAGTCTGCAGATGACTAAGAGGTCCACTTTGAAGCAGTATAAAACCACAAACCAATAATATAATATGTTGTAGCTTTCCTATCATTAGATGTGGTGGCTGCATTAGCCATTGCTTCACAAAACATTTTTTTTTCCTTTTGGGATAAAGGTTTTGCATAAAGCTGATCTTTGTAAGCACCGCTATCAGGGGTAAAGGTTTTGTCTCACCCGTTACTGAAGCAATCTGCATTAAAGAAGAAAATTAATGCAACCATCACATCTACGAATTGGTAAGCTGCAATTCAATAAATGTTTAATAAATAAATGTTTACACAATATCATCTTCAAAATAGTCCCCTTGCACAGCAATACAGCGCTCCCAGCGTTCCTGCCACTTCTGGAATGTGTCCTGGCAGTCTTTTTTTCGAAGCATGTCAAGCACTTTCTGCTATTTGTGCTGGATCTTCGCAATGTTGTAAAAATGACGACCTTTGAGCTGGATCTTCATCTTTGGAAAGAGGGTGAAGTCTGCAGGAGCCAAATATGGTGAGTAGGGTGGGTGCAGAAGTGAGATCATGTTGTTTCCGGCGAGAAATTCACGTGTGAGGAGAGCTCAGTGAGAGGGTGCAGGGAGGATTGCCTGGACTGTTCTGTATGACAATGGCAGCAATGTTGTGGATTATTCTCCAACTATCATCATGCATCATCAAGTTGCAGAACAGGGGCGTATCTGCCGTGAGGCAAACAAGGCATTTGCCTTGGGTGGCATTTTTCGTGCGGCGGCATTGCCCCCAGGCAGAAGGTACCAGTACCATTGCTACAGCAGGTGTGTTTGGGTGGGTGGGAGGCGGGCTCGTGTGTGCTTGGGGGGGGGGCTTGGCTTGGCTGTGCTTGCACATTGGGGGATGGGATTGGCTGTGCTTGGGCAGGAGGGCGGGCTCAGCTGTGTTCGGGCAGGAGGGCAGGCTCAGGTTTGCTCGGTCAGGTGAGTGGGCTCGGGTACGCTTGGGCGGGTGGGGGTGGAACAGGCTCGGCTGTGTTTGGGTGGGTGGGCGAGCACGAGTGAGGAGACAGAGAACCTGTTAGCCATACCCAGGTGTCTATGAAGATCTACAGGTTCTACTCGTTCTACTAGGAGGTGTAGTATGTGAGTCTTTTCCAAGGTGTTGGATGATTAACTATATTGGTGAAAGCTTGATGTAGACTAGAAAATTTTGACAAGTGTGAAATTACTTAATTGTATTTTAGGTTGTGAATTAGTGGACGCGGTGACAGCACTGGGATAACTTTGTTAACTCTTCGTGTGGCTTCAAGGTCTAACGGGTTGTGCAGCATCCATCCAATGTGTTTAGGCAAACCAGTCATCCATAGTGCTTGGTATAGACCAGGACTCTCTGGCTGGTCCACAGTTTCTGACCGTCTCCTGTGTCCTGTCCACAGTCTCTGAACGTCTCCTGTACTATGTCTGCAGTCTCTGACCATCTCCTGTAGTATGTCCACAGTCTCTGACCATATCCTGTATCCTGTCCTCAGTCTCTAACCTTCACCTGTATCCTGTCTTCAGTCTCTAACTGTCTCCTGTATCCTGTCTGCAGTCTCTGACCATCTCCTCTAGTATGTCCTCAGTCTCTGACCATCTCTTGTATCCTGTCCTCAGTCTCTGACCTTCTCCTGTATCCTATCCTCTGTCTCCTGTATTCTGTCCGCAGTCTCTGACCATCTCCCGTAGTATGTCCACAGTCTCATGACTGTCTCCTGTATCCTGTTGTCAGTCTCTGGCCGTCTCCTGTATCCTTTATGCAGTCTCTGACCTTCCCCTGTATCCTGTCCTCTGTCTCTGACCTTCTCCTGTATCCTGTCCTCAATTTCTGACCATTCCCTGTATCCTGTCCTCAGTCTTTTGACCATCTCCTGTAATATGTCCACAGTCTCTGACAGTCTCCTGTATCCTGTCTGCAGTCTCTGACCTTCTTCTGTATCCTGTCCTCAATCTCTAACCATCCCCTGTATCCTGCCCTCAGTCTATAACCATCTCCTGTACTATGCCCGCAGTCTATGACTGTCTCTGTCCTCAGTCTCTGACCTTCTCCTGTATTCTGTCCTCAATCTCTGTCTCCTGTATCCTGCCCTCAGTCTTTAACCGTCTCCTGTACTATGTCCTCAGTCTCTGAGCATCTACTGTATCATGTCTGCAGTCTGACTGTACCCTGTATCATGCCTCTCTGACCAACTCCTGAGGTGGAGCTCTAATAGGAAGAGGTGGAGCCTAAAGAGGAAGGTGCAGAATTTACTGATGAAGGGGTGAATCTTAAACAGGAAGTGGTGGGACAAATTTAGATGGGGGGGGGGGCGATTTTAGTCTTGCCTAGGGCAGCACAAAACCAAAATACACTGTTGCAGAATGGTTTCGACATTTTTTGGGTTTCAGCTCGTTGAAGGTCTTCCTGATCTCTCATTGTCTTTCAGTGATGTTCTACAGCTCTTGAAGCGTGCGTACCACTCAGAACACCTCAAACAACTCATTGCAGTATTGCTGTACAATTGCCAAATCATGTAAAACATCTCTGTGACAGATTTACCAAGTTTCATGCAGAATTTCACATTTGCTGTTTGTTCTAACTTGCTATCATTAAATAGCAGACGTGGTAATGCACGTGGTCAGAATAGCACCAGTTGCACAGTTCCCAATGTACACAGGACGATTTCTTTTGGCACACTGACTTATGAAGGTTGATGCTCCCTGTGACTGTGCATGCAGCCTTGTGCTGCCATCTGTTGGCATGCTACAAAACTTTTTGATACCACCTCGTATGTAACGTGTCTTATCTCTTCCATTTTATTTCTCTAATTGGTAAAAACCAAGGCTACACAGATGTGGTATGTTATGTCCCCACATTGCTGGAGGGAATAGACTTTCTTTATTCAATAATTACTTGTAGTGGGTAACATGGGTCCAAATCAGTAATCTTTTTTGCATATATTGTTCCTTTAGCACTAAGATGAAAAGAAGAGAATGAGCTGCATTTGTGCAAACAGGAATTGGTTGCAACCACAAGAAAATCATTCCACCAAATATTTATACTTTACTAGCTCAAAAATTAGAGCAGCAAGAAAACCCCAATAAATGCACATTAACAAGCGATATTGTTCTCTTTATTTGTAAAGAATTATGAAAGCTCACAGAAACAGAGTATATTATTTCATGTCATCAGCTGACAGTTGTTGCAAACAGATTTTTTTTTCTTGAAAAGGTTCTTTTACATTTGTGTTAGTCCTCTGAAGAGAGATCGACAGGGAATCATTCTTCAAAGAGTGTTTAACAGGTTTTGAGAAGGTGTTATGTCATATTCTCACTGCCTGTTGTAACCTCTAAATATCCATGCCACAGCAGGAGCCCCTTCCCCTGTGGTTCCCCAGTTCTCCCTGACTGGCAAGCAGGGGGACATTGAAGAATAGCTTTTCCCCAATGTTCTCTGTGGGGTGTAAACCCAAAATCACAGTCCGTGCTCAGTTGGCTGGCGGACAGGAGAGTCACTAATGTCTCCATAAACGAGTACCTGTCTCCTGCCCAATATTATCACATACTGTATATATGTGATTTGCACTTCCAGGTAGGGCGCGTGCACCGCCCTGTCCGCATCGCCACTGTTGGCTATGGATGTCAACCACAGGTCCTGGATGGAGACTCCCCGCCGCCAACCGGCAATAGCAAAGTAAAAACTGACAGGGGAGAGACCTGTGTGTAAACAACACAGGTCTCTCTTCTGCCAGCAAGGACATCCTGCTGTGTATTTCTCTGCACAGCAGAGAAATACACAGCAGCATGTTTTTCCTAGTAAATCACAGCACACAGCTCTTTGATCCGATGTTAACCCCTTTCTGCCCATTAGTACAGTATCAGTGCTTTTTATTAGCACTGATCACTGTATTAGTGTCATTGGGATGTCATTGGCAGTTATTCAGTCCCCCCCCCCCCCCCCCCCCCCAGTGTCAGAATGCCCGCAGCAGTCTTGCTATAAGTCGCTGATTGCTGCCATTAATAGTATAAAAAAATTAAAATACCAGTATATATACCACCATTTGTAAACTCTATAACTTTCATGGAAACCAATTCATTTACATGTAGTGGGATTTTTTTTTTTAGCAAAGACATGTAGCAGAATATACTTTGGCCTAAATTTATGAAGAAATTAGATTTTTAAAAATTTTATACTGGATATCTTTTATAGCAAAAAGTCAAAAATATTGTCTTTTTCAGTCTTTTTTTGTTTATAGAGCAAAAACTAAAAAGCGCACAGGTGATCAAATACCACCAAAATAAAGCTCTATTTGTGTGGGAAAAATGACGTAAATTTCATGTATGTACAGCATTGCATGACCGTTCAATTGTCAGTTAAAATAACCCAGCGCCATATTGCAAAAAATGGCCTATCAAGAAGGGGGGTAAATCATCTAGAGGGCAAGTGGTTAAAGTGTTACTAAACACACTTTATATGCAGTAAAGAATGCTTATTATACACACTGTGGAACCTAAGGGGTTAAACCTCTGCATTGTGTAAAAAAAACTGTTTGATCCTGACTTCTCTGATTCTCCCCCTTCTTCCAGTGTCCCCCTCTTATCTCCTTATAAGGTATATGATGTGGAGACACTCTGCACATGCTCAATTTGGTGTGTATTGCTAGATAGGTTTTTTTTTCTTTGGAGAGTGCATGTGATCAGCACAGGGCCAATCAGCACTGCCCAGACAGAGGTCAGGGCAGCCTCCTAGAGCAGAATGAAAACTCCTCCTACAAGCTGTAACCAGTGCTCAGCTGAAGTCACAAGACTGCTCTAACTGCTAATGAGAAAAGGTATTTACCAGTTTATATTTACTAAAATAATTGCATTTCCATGTTGTGTGTACTGTGGGAGATCAGATATAGTGAATGCAGGGTCCTGGGTTTAGTAACACTTGAAAAAAAAAGCAGAAGAAAACTGCACCTCTTTAATTCCTATGGCACTGATGCGTTGCACTTCAGATGCGGTGAAAAAAATCCTGCTTGCTGCATTTTTGGTGCATGTTTGTTCAGTTGAAAAAAACGCACCATAAATGCATCCTTTCATTAAAATGAATGGAAACTGCAGCAAAAACATGTTAAAAATGCAGCACAAATGCATATGTGTTTTTGATGTGTTTTCTTTTCAGTGGAGCAGTTTGAAAGTAGCCTAACAGCAGTCATGACTGACTGCCCAAAACCTGGAGCAGAGGAAAGAAGCACTGGAGTCTGCCAGAGGAGGTTTTAGGATAAGTGGTGCAGCCTTTTCAGCTTCCCCTAGACTTAACAAGCATTTAACCCCTGCAGTGCTGGGAGGCCCCATTAGATTTTGTCTAATTCCCAGGGTTGGGCATTAACTCTCTTATCCAAAAAATAAAATAAATAAATAAAATAAAATGTAAATTATAAAAATAATCCCAATATACTACTCATCATATCCTCACTCCAGCAATGCCCTTTGTGCCCTCCTTGGTTTTCCAGTACCGGTCCCCTTTGATGTAAAGGAGAAGGAGGTATATAAAAAAATAAAAATACATTCTCACCTCTATAATGCAGCATTGTTGTGATGCTGCAGCTGTCCCACATCAGCTCTAAGAACGAGAACTAAGTGATCACATGGCCGTTGATCACTCAGTTCTTGGTCCGCCCCAAGCAGTGCCTGTCAGTCGTTTTTCTCCGCTCTGTTCCTCCAGAGCTCATTGGAGCACAAGGCTTGAAGAGGGGGGAGTCAGTATGGCAGTTGGGTGGATCTCGCCACATGATTGGAATCCTTCCAAAACCTGGAACGGCTCTTCCAACTCAGTTGACAATAACTCTGGCCATACTTCTCCTTTAAATGAGACTGAGTGTCATTAAAGGATAAGTTCACCTTTCATAACATGTTATACCCATATTCAGGGTGTAACATCTTATGAAGATCTTCTCTCCCCCTCGCTAGCTGTCAGAATTTTTTAAAAACATGCCCAGCTGTCTGTGTCACTCATTCACAGTCCTCTAAAAAAACTACAAGTCCCAATAGCTTTAGCGGCTGTCAGCTTGTAGTTCTCAATGAACTACCACGGTGCTGTTGATCTCTTCCTGTCAGTATATCTGCTTGCCTGTAGATCCATACAGGCAAGCAGATATACTGACAAATCTGCAGAAGACCTGCATGGCACAAGCAATCAGCTGATCGCTGTTGCAAAAAAAAGTGCATTTTTTATTCTTGGCAAAAAGGTGATCTTCCCGTGAGTTCAGGCTGTCAGTGATATCCCCACTGGTGGTGTGTCCATAGGCAGCCTGGGTTTCCAATGGAAAGATGCATAGATGGAGTTTACAGGTAATGGTCTATGCAGGAGAAAGGACAGCTCACTAGCAACACTGATGAGGGACGCAGACTAGTTACAGTATGCGATCTTGTTGAAGACCCCTAAAAATAAGGCATGTACTTAGGAATGTTTTTTTGAAAAGGATGAGGGGGGGGGGCATCGGTGGATTTGGGCGGTAATGGGAGGTTAACGTGGCGGGAGAAAACTAGCTCTTCTTTAATACATTGAAAGGAACTCCGGAATTTCAATAATAATAATAATAATAATGAAAAATGAAGTCTTGTTTTTCTATAAAAAGAAATGCCAATTACATGTGGCACATTCTGTCGCCTTCAACCTATACAGTATGCATATATTATTTTGTGAAAATGTTCTCCCAGGCATTGTGTAATCAAAAAGAAGCCAAGGAGAAAAAGTGCTGATGAAGAGTGAAAAGCACCCCCTCTTGTTTGTGGAACAGTGTGAGATTTTTATTAATGCACTGTCACAGCAGAGGGGATATTGTGTCTAAGCCATATTTGATAAGAACAGTAATTGTATTTACCACAAGAGCCAAAATCCTTTTATTTATGGGCTCTTCTGATGCATTGTCACTAGAATCGCTAGTATACTTGATGAATTGCAA